TTTGTATATGTATATCTTTGGGAGCGGATTATTCCTCCATGTTGTGGCTCCCAACAATTACATTAACCCTAGGTTCACATCTGTGCTGGTAGTGCGGATCCGCATGAAAATCTGTGCAGCCGCACAGAGAAATGCGGACCCGCGGGTGGATGTCATTATTTCTAATGGCACGCCGCCCGCACTGGAAAACGCAACCGTACTGGGAACCAAGGTTCCCATGTGGGCTGTGTTTTCCAAAGAAGTGCAGGGACTTCTTCCCTGCTTGTCACGGGCACGGGAGTCCATTCAAATGAATGGGCTCTCATGCCCGTGCAAAACGCGGCCCGCGCAGCCGCATATATGCGAACCGGGATATAGTTCCGCCTGCCTTGACAGATTGATATAGAAAAAGAGGTCAGAACTTTAGTTTAATTGTCAGGAGCCGCAGGACAGAGGATTACTCCATGTGCTCCTGAAAATAAGTAAATAGTCCCCTCTCTGTCCCCGGCTCCTGCTGCTGAACTGATAGGCCTAAAGGAACTTTTATTTAATACCCGTGGGTTTACTGTGTGTGCTCCCATATATATGAGGGGTGTTCAAGTCAAACCGGGATTTTTAATTGTACAGGTATAAAAAGGGATGCTAGTGTGGTGCTACTACACGCAGTAGTAAATGTCAAGTGTGTCTTATTACTGATAGGCTGCGCACATGTCCCAAGCCAGTCCAGAGACCAATAATCAAGATGGCAGACAACAATGTAAGTTCGTACATGGAACAGCATGTAGTAATGAATTAAAACCTGTGGATATCAACAAAAGGCTTTAAAGTGGAGCTCCACCCAAAAGGGGAAGTTCCGCTTTAAGGACTGCTCCCCATTAAGTATTGGCACCTTCGGGGAGCAGGGGGAGGAGCGGGTACCCAAATTTGACAGGTACCCGCTCCCCCACTTCCGGTCTGATCACCTAGGCGATCGGAAGCGGAAGGTGTCCTCCCTCATCCCCCCTTGTAGTCTTTTGGTGGGACACGTGACAGGTCCCAGAAGACTACAGGATCGTTCACGAAGCGCAGCGCTACTTTTGCGCATGCGCAGTTGGTCCGGACTGTGAAGTCGCAAGCTGTCACAGCCAGGTGCCCACACTGAAAGATGCCGGGCCTCCTGGAATACAGGATGGCAGTGTGAAACGAGCCGGGACAGGTAAGTGGCTGCATTTTTTTACAGTTTTTGTAGCTGCTGACTTTTATTTTTTGATAGCTTGAGTGGAACTCTGCTCTAAGTACAGTACAGTGATGAGACGCTCAGCTGCAGAAAGACATTTGAATGGTATAAACGTTTCAAAGAATGCCGTACTTACATCAGAGATTTTCCCGGCTGTGGTGGTTCCCAGCCTACAGCAGTCTTGAATGGTATAAACGTTTCAAAGATGGCCGTACATACATCAGTGATGATGCCAGTCGTGGTGGTTCCCAGCCCACAGCAGTCATTCCTGTGAACATTCAGTGCGTGCAACATCTGATCCTGGATAATTAACGCATAACCTGTCAGGAGATTGCACAAGAGATGAATCTTTCTGTGGGAACATTAAACACAATCATTCACAAACATTTGCATTTTCGAAAGGCTAGCACACGCTGAGTACCAAGACAGCTTTTTGCTTTTGACTGGCACAGAAGAGTTGAAGTCTGAACCAGGGCGGACTGACCATTTGGAAACTCGGGCACTGCCCGAGGGCCCAGGGTCAGTAGGGGGCCCCATGAGATGCCCCTGGTACCTTTTTCATAGGCTTTTTTGAGTTTGGGCAAGGACACAGGGGCCCCATGATCCCCTATTGCCCGGAGGCCCCATGAGTTGTCAGTCCGCCACTGGTCTGCACTGTATTAAGGAGCCTTTTGACAGAGAAGGGCAGGATTTTCTGGATCACCTCATTACATGTGACAAAACCTGGGCACATCTTTTCACTTTGGAATCAAAATGAGCATCAACGCAGCGGAAGTATGCACACTCACCACCACAAAAAAATTTTTTTGAACAATTGTCACTGCTGGTAGAGTGATGGCAAGTGTTTCTGGTGACAAATTAGTTCCTCAGAAATCAGCATTTCAGCACTGATGATGAAGTGAAGCAGGCTGTCCTAGGATGGTTCAGGCGTACTGACAAATCTTTCTATGACAAAGCTTTCCAGGCATTAGTTAAACGCTGGGATAAGTGTATAAATGTAGTAGGAGAGTATTTTGAAAAATAAATGCAGTTTCCACTCTTGAAATTTGTTCTTTTATTATATAAACTCAAAAGTCCCGGTTTGACTAGAAAGCCCCTCATATTTAAAAAATCCTCTCTCTGCCTCAGGCTCCCTACTGAACTGATGGGGCCCAGGCCCAGTACAGGAGGTCCATACCCCTCATCAGTGACCCTGGTTTCAGGGCCCTTTTATTTACAGATAAGCCTACTTTTACTCGCCAAGCCAGTTTGATATTGAACAGATCTTCAAGCTGAGCCAACCATTTTAGTCCTACGTTTCTTGACTGTGGACGATTGTACAATTTTTGTTTCTCCTTATTTCTTTTAATCAGACCCATTTTGCATTTTTATTTTTAGCCTTACTTTGAGATGTATATAAAATATTTTTTCTTCACCATTAGTTTTCATATTTATTCATAAATAGTTTCCATGTTATTCATACAATATTAAATTCTACAAAACAAAGAATATAGAATTTGTAAAGGATGACTATGGCCCCTGAGGTATCTGCTCTGTATTTACACATTTGCCAGGGCAAGCATCCATGTTTATGAACCTAATACTAATAATTGTAAAAAATTTGGATCACTTGCAGGCAACTTCATCATTATCTAACCTCCATGGCCACCTACTAGTCATGTCCAGGGGCGGACTGACAACTCATGGGGCCCCCGGGCAATAGGGAATCATGGGGCCCCTGTGTACTTGCCCAAACTCAAAAAAGCCTATGAAAAACGTACCAGGGGCACCTCGTGGGGCCCCCTACTGACCCTGGGCCCTCGGGCAGTGCCCGAGTTTCCAAATGGTCAGTCCGCCCCTGGTCATGTCCACAACACAGAGAGGATGATCTGTGTCACAGAGAGGCTTTTGTTGGAGTTGAAAGTCCAAATTATTTCTTCCAGCTAAGCAGTGGTATCTAACATACTTAAAATAGGGGCCCATGAGTTCCTAAGGGCCCCAAATGATGCAGTAAGTGTAATACTGCATAAACTGTCAGAGACTGCAGACATGCTGCAAGAGATGGTCAGAGACTATAGGCATGCTATGGCAGATGATCACAGACTACAGACAATGTACAGGAGATCTACAAAATGGGGAGTGCAAGCATCTAGTACATTACCAAGTCACTTAACCTCCCTAGTGATATGATAATGTATTTCTAGACTCAAAGCGGTACATTTTTTTGCATGGAAAAATATGTTGTTTTTTCATTGTAGGCCTGTAATTCTTAGATATAACTCACTGAAATCTGTCCAAACAAGAATCTAGTAAACATCCCGGGTATGATAAAATTTGAAACATGAATTCATAAATTATAATCTAATAAATAATCATAAAAAATAATAATATAATAATAATAAATTGAATTCAATAATGTAATCAAACCAAAAAACACTGAAATTTGAAATATAGCGCCAAGTTCGCACATCACTGAGCAAAGTCGCAGAATCGTTTTCAGTGTCTGATGATGAATTTCCCCACAAATCATTATCACTCAATTCTGCAAGTGGTTCTGATTTACTATCGCTGTTCTCTAGCTGGTCTAAAACCGCTTTTGACCTAAAGGGACGCTTTTTGGATGCCATGGACTTTTCTAAGTTTCCAGGCAGAAAGAACAGTAAAAATGCAGGAAAAGCACAGGACAAAGCACTCAGGACAAAATGTATGTGAAATGGTTTGATACAGCAATGGTTTACTATGTGACTTTAGTGTATTGAGTGAATGTCACATTTCACATTTTGGAATTTCCCGCCGGTTCCGTCCCCGTACGTCCTGTATGTCCCGACGCTCGCAGGGAATGGAACCTGGAAGACAGATGCCGGCATTGGCTGGTGGACATGGCCGGGGACGCTGCAGGGGGGACATTGTGGGAGCGCAAGAAAAGATAAGTGCTGGATGGATCCCTGAGCAATGCTGCAGTGTAATCCTGAGTGTAGCTTGGAGTTACCGCTTCTGGTACTGAAACTTAACCCCAAGCTAAACTCGGGAATACCGCCAGGGGGTTAAATTCCCTTTCTTCCCCATTCTGATGCTCAGTTTGAACTTCAGCAAGTTGTCTTCACCACGACTAGATGCCTAAATGCATTGAGTTGCTGTCATGTGATTGGCTGATTAGCAATTTGCCTATGTACCAAGCAATTGAACAGGTGTACCTAATAAAGAGGCCGGTGAGTGTAAAGCGCCCGTCACCGCCATATCAAAAGCACATGTATGTATGCATCAGTATATATGAGTACATGTATGCATACATCAATTGTGCCACACATACGAGGTCTTGTCACAAATGCTGGGGTGAGAGCAATCATTCTAGGCCCATAATTCATGGTTAACTCTACACTGATGACCTGTAAAGGCTTTTAAAGCAAGCCCTATTTTAGGTACCAATGTTTTCTGCGACTTCACAGGTGTGCGCAATTTTAAGGCTTGACGTTTTTTTGGTATCTACTGACTCGACACAACCCCATATTTTATCCAAAAAATAGGTAAAATAGTGTTTGCACTAAAATTATTTTTATTTTTTTTCCTGAGAATATGCTTTTGATACAGAACTGCGCAAATATTGTGTGACTTTCATTCTCCAGGGTCTCTGCCTTCAGAAAATATATACTTTTCAGGGGGTTACATTAGTTTCTAGCAAAAAAAAAAAAAAATGCTGATTTTAACAGCCATGACAGTTAACCGTCCAATGAGGCGCAGGGAGCGCGCACAGGAAGTTTGGTCTTCGCCGGCCGCCGTCCTTGTAACCGTCACCTCTCTGAACGTCCTGCACATACTGACAGGGAACATGCTGACCCTACTGAGGTGCCGACTGCCTGGGAGCCGTTACCCCTGGAGGGTGAGGGCGGCCTCGGGACTGAGCAGCAGCCAGGAGAGACCCGGGCAGAAGAAATACCGCGACACCGTACTGCTCCCTCACACCGACTTCCCCATCCGCCTCAGTCCAGAGGACACCGTCACCACCGAGCGCCGCCTGCAGGAGGTCAGTGGGAGGAGCAGCAAATGTCTAGAACCGTTGCCCGTACCAACTGGTCGGGCGGGAAAAATCCGGTTGCTAGGGGCAACAGTTTCACTCCTGAGGAGGCCTTGAGGAGTCGGGCCTGTGTGATGACAGGCCGTGAGGGGCCGGTGTATTAGCAGTGGGCGCATCATCTGCCGATTATTTATAAAGCTCCACATTGGAAAATGACTCCGGGCCATGGTTATAAAGCAGTGAATAACTGTCACCAGACATTCACTGATAACAAATCAGTCAACCCATGAACCAGGAAGATTCACCCATAGTGAATGTAAATATACCTGTTTTTTAGGCCATATTGTCAAACTGTAGCCCAACTGTTTTTTGTTTGAAGGTGTAGGGAAGGGTAAAGCCTTTGCCACGTTAATTTATTTTTTTTTCTTTCTGTGTATCACCAGGGAAAATTGCTTTTCACTTCCTGTCAGGGACTTACAACAGGAAGTGAAAAGAAATCTCCCAAAATGCAGGGACTTCCCGGTTGTCATGGGCCGCAACTATTCACAAAGTGCGCGATCACAGCAGCTAAGTGCTGGCTGTCTAGATAGGTCCGACAGCTGCTGAGAGCCGCAGCTAGAATCTCTGACCGGCCCAAATCGCCGGTGTAAACGTAGCCTTAGGGCCTATGTCCACTAGTGTTCGTCCTCTGAACAGCGATCAGCGGGCAATATCTTTTCAGAGGGCGTTTGACAAGCGGCTAGGAGGCGTTACTTCCACTTCTTACGGCTTACTTTAACCCTTTAACCACTTGAGCCCCAGAGGATTTACCCCCCTTAATGACCAGGCCTTTTTTTGCTGTTTGGCGCTGCACTAATTCAAATGATAATTGCGCGGTCATGCAATGCTGTACCCAAACGAAATTTACGTCCTTTTTTTCACACACATAGAGCTTTCTTTTGGTGGTATTTGATCACCTGTGCGCTTTTTATTTTCTGCGCTATAAACAAAAAAAACACGAAACTTTTGAAAAAAAAACAATATTTTCTACTTTCAGCTATAAAAAATATATCGTAAAATCAAAGTTAGTCATAAATTTAAGCCAAAATGTATTCTGCTACATGTTTTTGGTAAAAAAAATCCCAATAAGTGTATATTGATTGCTTTGTGTGAAAGTTATAGCATCTGCAAACTATGGTATAGATCAGCAATGGGCAAACTACGGCCCGGCGGACCTTTTAATCCGGCCCGCGGAGCTAGGCTCCCGCTAGGCTCCTCTCACAGTCCGCCCTGAAGACTGGTGTAGCATGAAAATCTGTCTCCTATGAGGATCTGTCCCCCTCCACGTATCTGCGCATGTGCCGGAGATCGCCGATCGGCTGCTAATGCCTGAAACTGGCACATGCGCAGATATGTCGAGGGGGACAGATCCTCATAGGAGACAGATTTTCATGCTACACCGGAACGGCGCGGGAAGACGGCGAGAGGAACGCGCGGAGCAAAGGTAAGTGAATTGACACAGGGGGGACTTGGGGACTTAATATGGGGGATGAATTAATATGGGGGATGAATTACTATAGGGGGGATGAATTACTATATGGGGGACGAATTACTATTGGGGATGAATTACTATATGGGGGATTAATTACTATATGGGGGATTAATTACTATGCTTACTATGGGGGAATATTACTATACTTACTATGGATGACACATACACATCATTCATCTACTCTTGGTCCGGCCCCCGGGTCCAATATATGAACCCATTGCGGCCCTCAAGTCAAAAAGTTTGCCCACCCCTGGTATAGATACTGTAATTTATGCCTTTTTTTGCTATACAGCGCTGCACTAACTCAAATGATAATTGCGCGGTCATTCAATGCTGTACCCAAACGAAATTTACGTCCTTTTTTTCACACAAATAGAGATTTCTTTTGGTGGTATTTGATCACCTGTGCGCTTTTTATTTTTTGCGCTATAAACAAAAAAAAACCACAAAAATTTTGAAAAAAAACAATATTTTCTACTTTCAGCTATAAAAAATATATCATAAACTAAAAGTTAGTCATAAATTTAAGCCAAAATGTATTCTGCTACATGTTTTTGGTAAAAAAAAATCCCAATAAGTGTATATTGATTACTTTGTGTGAAAGTTATAGCGTCTACAAACTATGGTATAGATCAGGGGTGGGCAAACTTTTTGACTTGAGGGCCGCAATGGGTTCATATATTGGACCTGGGGGCCGGACCAAGAGTAGATGAATGATGTGTATGTGTCATCCATAGTAAGTATAGTAATATTCCCCCATAGTAAGCATAGTAATTCATCCCCCATATAGTAATTCATCCCCCATATAGTAATTCATCCCCCCTATAGTAATTCATCCCCCCTATAGTAATTCATCCCCCCTATAGTAATTCATCCCCCCTATAGTAATTCATCCCCCCTATAGTAATTCATCCCCCCTATAGTAATTCATCCCCCCTATAGTAATTCATCCCTCCTATAGTAATTCATCCCTCCTATAGTAATTCATCCCTCCTATAGTAATGCATCCCCCATATAGTAATGCATCCCCCATATAGTAATTCATCCCCCATATAGTAATTCATCCCCCATAGTAATTCATTCCCCATATTAAGTCCCCAAGTCCCCCGTGTCAATTCACTTACCTTTGCTCCGCGCGTTCCTCTCGCCGTCTCCCGCGCCGTTCCGGTGTAGCATGAAAATCTGTCTCCTATGAGGATCTGTCCCCCTCGACGTATCTGCGCATGTGCCAGTTTCAGGCATTAGCAGCCGATCGGCGATCTCCGGCACATGCGCAGATACGTGGAGGGGGACAGATCCTCATAGGAGACAGATTTTCATGCTACACCAGTCTTCAGGGCGGACTGAGAGGAGCCTAGCGGGAGCCTAGCTCCGCGGGCCGGATTAAAAGGTCCGCCGGGCCGTAGTTTGCCCATTGCTGGTATAGATACTGTAATTTATGCATTTTTTTTGCTATACAGCGCTGCACTAATTCAAATGATAATTGCGCGGTCATGCAATGCTGCACCCAAACGAAATTTACATCCTTTTTTTCACACAAATAGAGCTTTCTTTTGGTGGTATTTGATCATCTGTGCGCTTTTTATTTTTTGCGCTATAATAAAAAAAAATACGAAAATTTTGAAAAAAAAACAATATTTTCTACTTTAAGCTATAAAAAATATATCGTAAACTCAAAGTTAGTCATAAATTTAAGCCAAAATGTATTCTGCTACATGTTTTTGGTAAAAAAAATCCCGTGCATTAGCGGGCAAACTGGCGCTATCTAGGAGGGGCGCTAACACTATCGGAAGTCACCAGTGACACTAATACAGTGATCAGTAAAAATCTGTTCACTGTAATCAATGACACTGGTGACAGGGCAGTGAAGGGGTTAACTGGGGGGGGGGGGGGGGGCGATCAAGGGGTTAAATGGGATTTCTGGTGCACTAGCGGGCAAACTGGCGCTATCTGGGAGGGGCGCTAACACTATCGGAAGTCGCCAGCGACACTGATACAGTGATCAGTAAAAATCTGTTCACTGATCAATGACACTGGTGACAGGGCAGTGAAGGGGTCAACTCGGGGGGCGATCAAGGGGTTAAACGGGATTACTGGTGTACTGGCGGGCAAACTGGCGCTATCTGGGAGGGGCGCTAACACTATCGGAAGTCGCCAGCGACACTGATACAGTGATCAGTAAAAATTGGTTCACTGATCAGTGACACTGGTGACAGGGCAATGAAGGGGTTAACTGGGGAGGGGGGGATCAAGGGGTTAAACGGGATTACTGGTGTACTGGCGGGCAATCTGGCGCTATCTGGGAGGGGCGCTAACTCTATCAGAAGTCGCCAGCGACACTGATCAGTAAAAATCGCTTCACTGATCAGTGACGCTGGTGATAGGGCAGTGAAGGGGTTAACTGGGGGGGGGGGGCGATCAGGGGGTTAAATGTGTCCTAGCGTGTTCTAACTGTAGTGTAGTGCTTGTGTACTCACTTTTTGGATGTCTTCTTCTCTGTCTGGAATGGAATGTGTCCAGGCAGAGAAGAATGACATCATATCCTGCCCTGTGTAAATATCAACACATGACAGGATAGGACAGGGACCGATCATGTGATTTCAGCCAGAAATCACTGGCTGAAATCTAATGATTGATCCCTCCTGGATTGAATCGTATCACCCGCGGGTCGGCGGGAGCGCGCGCTCGCCCCCTACCCGCGAATGTGTCGGGAGCGCGGAGCACGTTTTTAAAACGTGCTTTTGCGCTCCACTGCCGCCCTGCACACGTATATACACAGTGGCAGGGCGGCAAGCGGTTAAATCCCTCACCACAAGCGCTTGCATGGCACGCAGTTGTGACGTGGCCTCTGTCACATGAATGTGTTGTGTGTGGTGGGTGGTACTGCCCATCACATTTATTTATTTCAGGTACTTGTATAGTGCCGTCAATTTACGCACCACTTTTACACAGGGTGGATTTGATTTAAATCAAACTGATTTAAATCACGATTTAAATCACTAGTCAGTAAGGTTTGATTTAAATCCTAGTTTTCTACATAGACTAATTCTTGCTGGTATAACTTTAATATGCAAGTAGATGAAGATTTTTAGAATAACAAATTTTCATATTAGTTTTTTTATCCCCAGTTGAATAGGTTAATCATTCTTATTTGGACAACTTTTCTGTTGTGTACTTAGGAAGGAGAAAAATAATCATTACCTTAATAATAACAATTTAAATAGATTTATTCAACTGAAACAATAACATTATAGCATATGTTATTTGCTTAACTAATTGCCGACTGCAGATAGCCAAATGACGGCTGCACTGCGGCCGGCCAGTTCTGGGTGGACGTCATATGACGTCCTCCCAGAATGCGCTCAACTGTGCGCCCCCGGCCATCTCCGTGATCGCTGTGTCCTATGGACACAGCTGATCACGTGACGTGGTAAAAGGCCAATCACAGCGGCCTTTTACCACGTGATCAGCCGTGTCCAATGACACGCTGATCACCGGGAAAATGCAAACGCTGGTTCTCGGCTGCACTTCCCTCACGCTGTCAGATCGTGAGGAGAGTACTGCCGAAAACCGGCAGTTGTCAGAGCGGGGTCAGACCAATCATCAGTGCCCTGATGATTGGTGCCCAGCAGTGCCACACACAAGTTCCGCCCACCTGTGCCCAGCAGTGCGCCCACCAATGCACCCACCTGTGCCCAGCAGTGCACCCACCTGTGCCACCCAGCAGTGTCACCGCCTGTGCCCAAAAGTGCCACCTACCTGTGCCCAGTAGTGCCACCCACCTGTGCCCACCCACCTGTGCCCAGCAGTGCTGCCAGTCAGTGCCACCAGTCCGTGCCCAGCGGTTGTGCCAGTCAGTGCCCAGCAGTGATGTCAGTCAGTGCCACCTATCAGTGCTGTCTATCAGTACCCATTATCAGTGTCGCCTATCAGTGCCACCAATCAGTGCTGCATATCAGTGCCACCTATCCGTGCCACCTCATTAGTGCCGCCTATCAGTGCTGCCTATCAGTGCCCTTCAGTGCTGCCTATCAGTGCTCTTCAGTGCTGCCTATCAGTGCCCTTCAGTGCTGCCTATCAGTGCCCTTCAGTGCTGCCTATCAGTGCCCTTCAGTGCTGCCTATCAGTGCCCTTCAGTGCTGCCTCATCAACGCACATCAGTGAAGGAGAAAAATTACCTGTTTGAAAAATTTTACAATAGAAACAAAAATACTTTTTTTTTTCAAAATTTTTTGCAATTTTTTTGCTTATAGCACAAAAAGTAAAGTGCCCAGCAGCGATTAAATACCACCAAAAGAAAGCTATATGTGTGAGTAAAAAATGATAAAAATTTCATATGGGTACATTCTTGCATGACCGCACAATTGTCAATCAAAGTGCAACAGTGCTGAAAGCTGAAAATTGGCCTGGTAAATAAGGGGGTATAAGTGCCTGGTAGGCAAGTGGTTAAACAAACATCCATGTTTGTTAACTAATTTGGCTAAACAAAATATATATATATTTTAAGAAACTTAGACTGTCAGCCCCTTCCTCCTCACACTTAGTTTCACTTTCTTCTTGTGCAGATCTATTCCACTCCAGACAATCAGAAAAATATTGTTTCTATTCTATTCACTGAACTTCTTGAAACTTAGCACTGAAGGGGTTGATTCTGTATTCATAGGTTTGTAGAAGTTAGGATGAAGGTCTTTTTCTTAACTCTGTTCATGTTATAACATTTTTGCTGTGAAGAAGAGTCATGTGATCTCCGCTGAGTCAAATTCAGTTTTGACAACTGCAAAAGTAAACCAAGAATCTGTGATAATATCTTGTAGGCAGAGAAACTGCCCAATAATCTTACAAAAACCTTTGGAAGAGCATGACATTGTGAATGGATTAATGGAATTTATTTACCAAAAAAATTAAACATATACAGCCTTATTCTACATAATTAAAAAACGAATCTTTATTTCATGATGGAATAACCTTTGGATGGTAATATATTTTCCTCAAAAAGCATTTTATTTAAAAAAATCCGATTTAAATAAAACAAATCCGATTTTTTTTTTTTTTTTTTTTTTTTTTTAAATCATTGATTTTTATCCACCTTGCTTTTACATATGTATTGTACATTCACATCAGTCCCTAACCCTCAAGGGGTGTACAATCTAAGGTCCCTAACTCACATTCATACATACACAAATGCGACATGGAGGGTTTATTTTATGTTGTGAGCAGGCAGGCTGTGTATTACAGACATCCAACGTCTCTTCTGCAATGAAATACACCTTATATATAAAGAAAAAGGTGTAATCACCCCTTCATAAATATTCCCCGATTCACCAAAGTATAAGGTGTGAATTCTTAAACCAAAAAAAAAAGAATAAATGTTAGCAGTTGACAAGAGCAAACCCGCTATGAAGTGGTGCACTACAAATCCTATGCGGAGTAATAATCACTAAATAGTGAATGCAAATTGTATTTATTAAGATCACATGGATCATGAAAAGGTAGACATTATATCATGGTGGACATATGTCATTCATAAAAATAAAATCAAAAAGTAAAAACCAAAAAATAATGTCTACCTATTCATGATAAATGTGATCTTAATAAATACAATTTGCATTCACTAATTTAGTGATTATTACTCCGCATAGGATTTGTAGTGCACCACTTTATAGCGGGTTTGCTCTTGTCATCTGCTAACATTTATTCAATGAAATACACCTGCCTGCCTGCCTGCTCACGGCCTTCTGTGGCATGTAAACTGAGCTGCGCATGTGGAAAGAAAGAAGAAAGATGTGGCAAAAAGGTGAACATATAAAGCAGGGGTTCTCCACACTATGGCCCTCCAGCTGTTGAAGTATTACAAGTCCCATCATGCCTCTGGGAGTCTTGCTTGTGGCTGTCAGAGTCTTGCAAGGCCTCATGGGACTTGCAATTCCTCAACACCTGGAGGGCCATAGTTTGGAGACCCCTGATATAGAGAAATTAAGGGCTTATTTACACGGCTTCATAGGGCCTCACGCAGGACACGCAACACCCAAAAGTGGCTCTGGAACCTTTTTTGGGTGTTGCGTGTCCCATGATTTTTTTTCCACAGTTTCGGCATGTTTTTTTGCACGGAAAACTGTGTCATGATTGTGGCAAAAATGATCGTGATCGGTACCTTGACGCGTGATCACGCGTTTTCACATTGTCCCAGCGCATTTTGAAATCGTGGGCAGAATCACAGCAAAAATGTAGAATGTTTTATTTTGAATAGCATAATGAACATTTTCCTCCTGCAGCCTCTGAATGTCGGGGATTGGTTCCTGTGACAGGGAGGCCACACGGGCTCCCTGGAGCATGAAGCGAGGTCACTATTGCAACCCACGATGCTACACCAATGGTTGGGGGTGGTAAAAACAGACCTCAACATACTCTTAGATGCAGATTTTTGGGTTCTATGTTTTTGTATCTGAACATAGTGCATGTTTACTGCTGGGGGGGTGTGGAGGAGGGGGCACTGTGCTGGGGGGGGTGTGGAGAAGGGGGCACTGTGCTGGGGGGGGTGTGGAAGAGGGGGCACTCTTCTGAGGGGGTGTGGAAGAGGGGACACTCTGCTGATGGGGTGTGGAAGAGGGGACACTCTGCTGATGGGGTGTGGAGGAGGGGGCACTCTGCTGAGGGGGTGTGGCGGAGGGGGCACTCTTCTGAGGGGGTGTGGAGGAGGGCGCGCTCTGCTGAGGGGATGTGGAGGAGGGGGCGCTCTGCTGAGGGAGTGTGGAAGAGGGGGCGCTCTGCTGATGGGGTGTAGAGGAGGAGGCGCTCTGCTGATGGGGTGTAGAGGAGGGGGCGCTCTGCTGAGGGGGTGTAGAGGAGGGGGCGCTCTGCTGAGGGGGTGTGGAAGAGGGGGCGCTCTGCTGAGGGGGTGTAGAAGAGGGGGCGCTCTGCTGAGGGGGTGTAGAGGAGGGGGCGCTCTGCTGAGGTTTGTATGTTTGGTATAACTAGAGTGGTTAATAGTTTTCAGCATTTTCTCGGCACAAGTATGATTGCTTCCCTATCTTTTCCCCACACAGGAGTGTAACTTCTTGCAACTTTACAACTGGCAAAGAGCCAGAAAATCCAAGAAAGAGTTCAGCTTGCATGATGGGCCACCCTATGCTAATGGGGACCCTCATGTTGGACATGCACTGAATAAGGTAACAGTTTATTACTGATCTTCTGTGTTTTTTACATCTCAATTGTCCAGTTAGAGTAGCTAAATAGTAAAATGTATAAATATCTCATTAAAGTGTATGTTTTATTTGTTTCTCACTTTTTTTTTTTCTTTACACTTTCACTAAGCCACCCCAACCACACCTAAGCATTTTATGTTGTCTTCATGCTTTGAATTTTGCACTAGGATACAGTTATAGAAAGCAGTAGGACATTAAAAATGTAGTTGATACTTTTGTGTGCTAACTGCGTATTTAGATAATCAGCCAAAAATACTGACTACATTTTACTTCCTGCTGCTGTCTATGGCTGTCATGGTACAACAAGGAGCAGAACAAATGAGACTTCTTCACTTAAGCTGGCCATACACGTGTAGAGTTTTAGACGAGGATATTCGTTAGAAAAGTTGTACAAATATTTTGAACTTTCAGTGAATGGACGAATGTCGTTCAAAAATTGTCTTTTGCTTTTAACATTCAATTTTAAAATCAATGTAATTTCTGAACGATAACCACATGCACTGGCCAAAAATGCATTTGATAGAAAAAACTTTCCTTTCCTGTCCCTTTGAATTTTCCCGTCACTGCTGTCGAAAACGAACATCGATTTGACCCCACTAACCATAAGAAAATCAAACGAATATTCTTGAAACAAAAATTCTCGAACGAAAAGCTTCCTTTGGGTGTTATTTGATCGTCTGGTCGTTTTTTATTTTTTGCGCATAAAAAAAAAAAGACTGACAATTTTGCGAAAAAAAAAAACAATATTTTTGACTTTTTGCTATTAAACATGTCCAGTTAAAAGATTCAAAACGTCACATTTCTTCATAATTTAGGCCAAAATGTTTTCTGCGACATGTCTTTGCTAAGAAAACTCTCAATATGTGTAAATTAATTGGGTTACGTGAAAGTTTTAGTGTTTACAAATGGCGCAGCCATCCAGAGCAGTGTGCCCGAGCTGACAGGGAGGAGGACTTTTAGTAAACAAAACAGTCCTCCTCCCCGTCGGAGATGCTCGGTAATCACCAGGCGCCGGCAGGTAATCACTGGCTGGGACCCGGTGATTGACAGCCGCGAATGGTGGCGCAGGTAGGGCGCGCGCACGGCTCGCATGCACCCCCTACCCGGAAATGCGAAATCACGTATATATACGTAATTTTGCGATCCCCTGCCGCCCTGTAGCAGTATGTCTGCTATAGGGCAGTGGGAAAGCGGTTAACCTGAAATATTTAAAAAACAGATTATCATTAGGATTATTTACTGCAGATATCATTGTAACATTAATTTGTCTTTCAGATCTTAAAGGACATTATAAATCGTTTTCATATGTTGCGGGGTTTACAAGGTGTCGTATGTTCCAGGATGGGATTGTCATGGGTTACCAGTAGAACTCAAAGCCCTGGCTGATGTTGGAGACAAAGCCGACAGTCTGACGCCTATGGAAATCAGAAGTAGAGGTAAGGAAGCACAAGGACAATGACAAGTGACTCAAGTAATATTGTGCCATAAAATGTTTGTAGAACTATTTTGACTAAGAGACTAAGAATCTCACAAACAATGCAGTAGGGTTATGTTTAACTGCTTCCCGACTGCCCTATAGCAGAACTACTGCTACAGGGGTGGCAGGGCTGCGCAAAATCACCTATATATTTCCAGGTAGGGGGTGCGCACATGCACTGCCCTACCTGCGGCACCATGGGCGGCTACAACTGTTGATCACCGAGTCCCGTTGTTCGCCGAGGAACACTAACAGGGGAGAGGTCTGTATGTAAACAACACAGATCTCTCCCCTGTCAGCACCAGCATGCTGCTTTGTATTGCTTTGCATAGCAGAGCAATACAAAGCACCATGCTTACAGAGTAAAACAGCACATAATGTGACACACAGCACATAGTTAACTCTTTGATCGCCCCAGATGTTAACCCCTTCCTGCTCAGTGTTATTAGTACAGTGTCATTGCTTTTTATTAGCACTGATCACTGTATTAGTGTCACTGAGGATGTCAGTGGCAGTTAATCAGTCCTCCCAGTATCAGAATGCCCGCGGCAGTCCCACTATAAGTCGCTAATCGCCGCCATTACTAGTATTTATAAAAAAAAAATTCCAGTATATATACCGCCATTTGTAGACTTCAAACTTTCACGTAAACCAATTAATTTACACATATTAGGATTTTTTTTTTAGCAAAGACATGTAGCAGAATACATTTTGGCCAAAATTTATGAAGAAATTAGATTTTTAAAAAAATTTTTTACAGGATATGTTTTATAGCAAGAAGTAAAATTTTATTATTTTTTTTTTTTTTTCAAAATTGTCGTTTTTCGTTTATAGCACAAAAAATAAAAAAACACAGAGGCAATCAAATACCACAGAAAGAAAGCTCCATCTGTGGGGAAAAAAGGGCATACATTTAATTTGGGTGCAGCGTTGCATGACCGCGCAATTGTCAGTTAAAGTAATGCAGCGCTGTATCACCAAAAAATGACCTGGTCAAGAAGGGGGGTAAATCCTCTGGAGGGCAAGTGGTTAAAGTGGTTGTAAAGGCTCAAGGTTTTTTACCTTCATGTATTCTATGCATGAAGGTCAAAAAACTTTTGTGTGTTTATTGCACATTTCCAATTACTGTAAATACATAGAAATCCTTGGTGAGACATCTGACTGCTGCTAAATCCATTATACCCAGATTCTGGAAATCCACATACTGTATGTGCCTACAGTACTGGATTGGTTGCACTGGTATACCACATCAGTGAAGTGGAAGAAACTGTAGCAATTGCTGAAGAATGCACAGGAAAATATGTCGAGAGACTGTGGTTTCTTTTACTCAATTTCTTATGCGCAATTAAGTATAAGCTGAATTATATGGGAGATTATAAATTGTTCACCTTTTCTGACCAATAACGCAGTCATGCTATTTACCACATCTAGACTACTGTATACTTGACCAGAAGATAATTCTCAATTTCTTCTCACTCTTTGTTTCTAAACTATTTTTCTGCAAATGAAACACTGGTTTGTTAAGACATGTTTGTAATTTAGAACACAGAACACAGGCAGTCTGAAACACATGTTTATCACTGCCATATTTCGACGAAGATTGTATGAAAACTTTTTAATTTTACAGTTTGCTTTACGGTTTATGAAACTGTGTCTTCTTTGAGATATATGTCAAACAAATCTTTTTTGAATAAAAATTGAGGCCAAGTTTCTGCTCCGTGTGTGTGAATGGACAAAGCAAAGCTGCTTGCTTTGGGGGCATCCGACAGCAGCCAGAAGAGCCTGAGGGGGACCCGAGAAGAGGAGGATCCAGGCTGCACAACCACTGCACACAGCAGGTGAGTATAGCATGTTTGTTATTTTCCACAGAGAAAAAAAAAAAACCTTTAGAATCGCTTAAAGTTAAGGGGTTGTTCTTGGTAAAAATGCAGAAAAAGGGGTCTTTACAGCACTTAAATGGAACTCTCTTTTTAGCCTACCAAATTTCCAAAGAGATGTTGTACCTTAAAATGTATGTCATGCAGATGTTATGAGTAATAATCTAGGTCTCCATCCAGTGCCTTCTCCTTATTTGAATATTTGTTCCAGGTCACTGATTCATAGGATTGAAGCCCAGATTGTCAGCATGGCAGAAAGCTAACAATTATTTTTGAAAATGGCAGCCTAAATATTTCCTTACTTGTAAATTGTAAGATGCCTAAAGACTTTAGGGGGTGATCTGTTATGTAGGTATGATCTATCTGCCCTCAAATAAAACAGCCATCAGAGCACTGCAGAAGACAATTAAGGGACAACTGTGCTCTGCAGCCATTGTCAGTGCTCTCTCCTCCTCCTGAAGCTGGCCACTGGGGAGATCACATGACCAGCCGGGAGTGCCCTTAGATTAGTTAAGTATACACATTTCCTTTTACAGGATCTGTAAGTATAGGCTTAGAATGGGGGTGGGAGCAGGTTTAAGCTTAGTTAGACTTTGGCCGGACTTCTACTTTAAGTTAGTATTCTCCTTCCCCACCAAAGTTTTATACTTACATGCTTACGCTCCTACAGAACACCACACTATGTACAAAAAATCCCATTCATTTCCATTGAGAGGCCATCTATCACTGTGACATGTAATAGACAGGCCTCTTTATAAGAATGAACGGGATTTTCTCAACAGCAACGACTCCCTATTGGTCACACATCATGGATCTCAAAGGAGTGTGGACACAAGTATAACATTTAGAGGAAGGACATTTGGATTGGCAGCATGTGAAGTTCCAGCACTGATTAATTATTCACAGGTGAAATTTCCTCATCTACTGTAAATGTGTACAGCAGTGACAGTTATACTGCATATGATACTTCCTTGTTGCTTTTATTCATACCCCAAGAGTACTATGTATCTTGTTCAAAGCTTCTATCTAATTTCTCACTCTTAGGCCCCTTTCATAGTGGCGGACTGATGGGTGAAAATAATCAGTTACTAGGGTGTTTCTCTTCCCTCTGTTCTTGTTATACGAACAGGAGTTTACAATTACAGTGAACCTGTCATTACATGTGTAGCTACTACAGCTACCTTTCATATTTCCATATATTGCAACAGTAGCCTATGGGGTTGATTTAATAAAATTAGAGAGTGCAAAACCTGGTTCAGCTCTTCATAGAAACCAGTCGGCTTCCACTTTTTTTTTTTTTTGGTCAAAGTTCTAAGTTGAACAAGCTGAAGTTAGAAGTTCACTGGCTACAATGCACAGCCACACCAGATTTTGAACTCTCCCATTTTAGTAAATCAACCCCTATGTTGGTATGTATCCAAATATGAACTTAGGGAGAAGAGAAACAAAATGACTGGAACTCTTGTATAGGGCACTACTTAGGTCCTTTGAGGTTCCTTGAGAACCATCTCCATCTGAGTCTGATGGTTTGTGCTTGCACTGGGTAGGGTGGGTTCAAAACATGACGCCTAGTAGGTTTGCATTTTCAAGAAACTGGTTATAAAATTCTCTCATGGTGGTATAGGGCCCCTAAAACCCTTTATATATTCTTCCTGTAATGATTCTCACTGTGCTGGAGATGTTGAAAAGATGAAGGCCCTCTGTTGCATATTTTTGGACTTGTCTGGGTATAGGAGACTTTTGGGATCAGGTGAAACAGATAATCTCACAACTGACAGATGTACTGATGCACAATAATCCAGCGGTATTCCTCCTTGATTTCACTACTGCCAATCAAACAATATAAATTATCTCTATTAATATACTTATTTAATGTAGTAAATATACACTATATTGCCAAAAGTATTGGGACACCCCTCTAAATCATTGGATTCAGGTCTTCACTTCCATGGCCACAAGTGTATAAAATCAAGCCCCTAGGCATGCAGACTGCTTCTATAAACATATGTGAAAAAATGGGTCGCTCTCAGGAGCTCAGTGAATTCAAGCGTGGTAACGTGATAGGTTGCCACCTGTACAATAAATCCATCTGTGAAATTTTCTTGCTACTAAATATTGCATAGTCAACTGTTAGTGGTATTATAACAAAGTGGAAGAAACTGGGAACAACAGCAACTCGGCCACGAAGTGGTAGGCCACGTAAAATGACACAGTTGGGTCATGCTGAAGCACACCATGTGCAAAAATAACCAATAGCTAAAGACCTCCAAACTTCATGTGTCTTACAGATTAGCATAACACCAGTGTGTAGAGAGCTTCATGGAATGGGTTTCCATGGTCGAGCAGCTGCATCCAAGCCTTACATCACCAAGTGCAATGCAAAGCTTCTGATGCAGTGGTATAAAGCATGCCGCCACTGGACTGTAGAGTAGTGGAAACGTGTTCTCTGGCGTGACGAATCGTGCTTCTCTGTCTGGACTTTTGGCGGTTGCCAGGAGAACGGTACTTGCCTGACTGAATTGTGCCAAACGTAAAGTTTGGTGGAGGGGGGATTATGGTGTGGAGTTGTTTTTCAGGGGTTGGGCTTGGCCCCTTAGTTCCAGTGAAGGGAACTCTTAAGGCGTCAGCATACCAAGACATTTTGGACAATTTCAGCTTTGTGGGAACAGTTGGATGGCTCCTTCCTGTTCCAACATGACTGCGCACCAGTGCACAAATCAAGGTCCATAAAGACATGGATGAGTGAGTTTGTGGTGGAGGAACTTGACTGGCCTGCACAGAGTCCTGACCTCAACCCGATAGAAACACCTTTGGGATGAATTAGAGCGGAGACTACGAGCCAGGCCTTCTCATCCGACATCAGTGCCTGACCTCACAAATGTGCTTCTGGAAGAATGGTCAAACATTCCCATAGACACACTCCTAAACCTTGTGAACAGCCTTCCCCGAAGTATTGAAGCTGTTTATAGCTGCAAAAGGTGGGCCAACTCAATATTTAACCCTATGGACTAAGACTGGGATGCCATTAAAGTTCATGTGTGTGTAAAGGCAGGCGTCCCAATACTTTTGACAATATAATGTATTAATTCCAGGATATTGGAAACAACCTATATTCCTGCAAGTTGGTTTGTGGTTTTTGAAGAATAACAAAATCAAAATGATGAAGGTACTTATGGCCACAGCAAATCACAAGGAACAACAATTCTGGAACTCATGGCTGCAGTAAATAACAAGAAACAACGGTTTGGCAAAACTAGTTACTCTAGTGCTTGAGGCATAGTCTAGGAAAAATTAAGCAGTCCATGTAGGAGAAGCCAGGAGGTAGGCAGGATCAGGATAGGAAAACAAAAAGGATGGGTGGTGGAGGGTGGGTTATCTGGGTGCGACTGTCGCCAGGCTATCTGGTGAGGACTGTGGACTCTATTGCATCCTAAACTGGTGGCCCTATCAGTATAAGGTGTCTCATGTTTCTAAGGGTTATTCATTAATGTTCAGTAATTTATTAAGTAGGTGAATTCAGTCCAAAAGTGCCACTTTTCCTTGACAGCTTGGTATGCTAAAGGAAGTTGAAAACAATAGACTTGATTACGGGGTCACCAGGTGAAAATAAAGGGGGAAAAAAGCCTACAAAAAAAAACTGCAGTGCTCCTGACTGGCCTTTTATCTACAATAGCCGGTCAGGAGGTGGTTTTCTGCTGTCACCCATTGTGATGTGCTTTCAGTCAGCCTGATCCTTTAATAAGTTGTCCAAGCTTGCAGTATGCAGTAGCGGTTTATTGAATTGTATGTTAGTTGCTCCCTCATTGCAAGGGATTGCATGCTAGCGCTGGAATTAATAGTATCCACCTTTTAAAAGCAATTTCGTTTTGCTCATTTCCACTCGAACGTTGCAATGGAACATTCTTATGCCAAGGGACAAATTCAATCTCAGGATGTCAGTGTCACGGGACTTCTGTCCCTGGCATTGGTGGAGGGCAGGATTTTCTTTCCGATTACACAACGTATGCCAGTCTTATGGGTTGTGGTGGAGTTCTGTGCTGTCCATCTGTTCAGGGTTGTTGCTCTCAGGAAAATTTGTCATTTCCAATCAACAACCTACAGTTATGAGCAAGTTGATTGTTGATTGTAGAAAAAAATCTTCCAAATCAAGCTGAAAGGAGAAGAACATCCTTTCTCCTAAGGACCCTAAGCAAAACCGAACAGTTGTGAAGTGAAAGGGAGGTTATAGCTTCAAGGGGCCTGCCTTCAGTTTTCTATGTGCATATTGTCCATCTTCTTGTAGGTGGCAGTACATTCCTAGGTTGCTTATTATGAAGCTATGTCCCTCAATGAGCAATGGAGAAAAATGCATTCGATGAAGATATTTCAGTAATGTTTTAATTTAAATCTATATGCGATCTTTCTGTTTAGCCAAGGCATTTGCAGAAGAAGCCATAGAGAAGCAAAAAGCATCATTCATTCGCTGGGGAGTGATGGCAGACTGGGAAAAGTGCTATTACACCTTTGATAAGAATTACGAGGCAAAACAACTGGATGTCTTCAGCAAAATGCATGAAAAGGTATTCAACTTGTGGGTTGTGCTTGTGATGGTTAGCATAATGTCTGTGTTAGATGTTTTCAAAAAAATCAAACCGAGGTCCAGTGATCTTTGTATCGTATCTATGGCTGTTGACTGTTTGACTTTTTGGTATTAAATAAGTTTCTATTTTTTGCTTTGTAGGGCCATATTTATCAGGATTACAGACCTGTGTTTTGGTCTCCTTCATCAAAGTAAGTAATATGATTCTTCTTTTGTATCCTCCTTGTGACAGAGATCCTTATTCTATTATTGTATCTTTTATCTGTTTTCTTACTCACATACTTTGCTTTGTACAGAATATATAGCTTAACTAGTAGCAGTTAATCACAAAAAACTAGATTTATGCTACCTGTATGGCTATAAATGCTGGGTAAGGATGAGCTCAGGTGTTTTCGGATACTAGTGTGAACCTGCCTGAGCTATCCCACCAGTTAAGTTGTCACTGTGGACCACCAATCATATGCAGCTGAGGCATTCCCCACCCCACAGCTGTACATATACAAGGGGCATGTATACTCATGGCTGTGGGAAAGATAATGTTTTGCCCACTTAAAATTTGGCGGTCCACAGTGACAGTTGCCTTGTGGATTAGCTATATGTGAATGGAGAATGGCTAAACATGGTATACTATGAGTAAGCGCTAGTTTAGTGTGAAATGCAATTGCCTACTTGTTTCCTTTCTTTGCTGTTTGCATTGTTCATTGCTTGTGCTTTTATGGACTTTTTGTAATAAAGTGGTTTTCCAATAGTGCGGTTGTCCACATCATCTTCTGTTTTTTGCAATTTCTTGCAGGATAGTGCAGGTGGGTTAAACTAAAATGTGAGCATGCCTGAGCTCATCCATGATGTGACTATTTGCTAGCTGTACCATCACCTAGACAAATGGGAGCTCTCACAGACGTCCTGAATTTGTATTTACTCACATTAGTTACTGTTTGGTATAGCTGTGAGCAGATGTTTGTGACCCTTTAGGTAAATGTCTATATAAACAGTTGGTGAGGCTGTCATTATTATGTATCTAAAGCCAAAACCTTTTTTGTAGTTTTAAATAGTGTGGAAGGGTTAGAACACCTTTTTTTTAGTTTTTTTTTTTTTTTCTTTTTGTAATTTTTTTTAAAATATATTTCCATTACCAGTTAACAGCATTTGCCCATTTACAAACCATCAACTACTGTCTCTGCTGGGGAGACTCACTCTCTCTCTGTTTGTCCTCGTGACCATTGTCATGGAAATTGGAACTGGGGGAAAATCCAAATTTTTCTTTTTTTCAATAATTTTTATTGAACATTTTTTACAAAAAAGGATACAACAGGTATATCATTTTTCAGAGGAAGAAGCAAGTGAGAGTCCACAACACAGGCTGAGTATGTTGCCTATAAATAAGTGGAAGCAGCAAAGTTAATACCTAAATGCAAGTTTACATATGTCAGAACATGAAAGAATAGCAACAGCAATGCATATAGGAGAGGGAACTGGTAAATAAATTGCAGGCACTCCAATAAGGGGGGGGCGAATCCCAAGCATAAGGTACCAAGTGCTTTCTAAGGTGCAAAAGGCATAATCAACCAAAAAGAAAAAACTCCTGTATAGTGAATAATAATTGGCATCACGTAAAAAGTATGTGAGGACATCAACAGGAAGAAGGAAAACGCACATGAAAAGAAAAAAATCAGAAGAAAAATGGCCATGACTAGGGATGCACCGAAATTTAAGCCGCTCAAACATATCAGCCGAAAATAGCCCTATTGGCATTTTGCCCCTTTGTTTCTTTTAGCCCTCTGAGAATGACAGCTGCTTCTCTGAGCTATAGTAAAGGAAAAAAAAAGCCGGTAATTACATTTAAAAAAATGGCATTGTTTGTTTTTAAATGCAATTGCTGGCTTTTTTCCCTTTTACTACAGCTCAGAGAATGTGCTGTCACTCTCCCTGAAGCTAAAGGAAACAAAGTTTCCTTTTAGCTTCATTCTCTGAGCTATAGTGAAGAAAAAAAAAATCCGGCAATTGCATTTAAAAACCGGCACTGACATATAGTGACAGCCAGTGAGGGAGCCTCTCTGTATACATTGCTGCTCTCCTGCCTTCTCCTTGCAAACACTGCCCCCCCCTTTCAAAGTGGACCTGTCACTTATATGCTATCACATAGGGGACCAATAGTCCCCTATGTGATAGCAATAAAATCATAAGTTAATAAAACAAATAAATATATACATGAAAGTAGAAGACAATACATAAAAAAAATTGGAGCTTCCCCACCACTCCCACATGCGCAGACGTTTCGGTTTTCGGCCACATTCATTCAGAATTTTTGCTATTGGTTTCGGCACCAGAATTTTCATTTCAGTGCACCACTAGCCATGACCTGTCCAGCATCCAGTCCCATTCAGCACCATAGGAGCCATACCTAAGGAGATTGGAGCTCTTGTATCCAAGGATTCCGGAGTCTCTCGAACCTTGTAGCGGGAACCCTGGAAAATCCAAATTTTGAGGTGTCTTTGCAACAGGAATAGAGGTTCATGGTTTAAGTACCAAATGGCATTTCCCTGTCTTCATTCTTATACTGTATGTTTCTAAGTCTTCCAGTGGGGACATCTGTTTCGGTGACGGCTGTCCAAGAGGGGGTAACCCTCAATTTCCTCTTGTTTTCACAGGAGAGGAAGCTGAGGGGAATTTACTCAATGGAAAACTGATGACAAAAATATAAATGTAATGTAAAATCTAAATGTGACAGTATTGAACACGTCACCATTTTTCTTGGTAAATATAGTTAAGTTATGTGTAACAAACTGGAATGACACAGGGAAAAAATATTGAACACGCTAAATGAAATGTATTTAATACTTCGTACAAAATTCTTTCTTGGTAACAGCTTCAAGACGCCTTCTGCATGGAGAAACTAGTCGCACGCATTGCTCAGGTGTGATTTTTGTCCCATTCTTCTACACAGTCTTCAAATCATGAAGGTTCCGTGGGCCTCTTCTATGATCTCTGATCTTTAGTTCTTTCCATAGATTTTCTGTTGGATTCAAGTGAAGTGTTTGGCTGGGCCATTCTAGCAGCATTATTTTTTTTTTCTTTGAAACCAATTGAGAGTTTCCTTGGCTTTGTGTTTGGGATCATTGTCTTGCTGAAATGTCCACCCTCATTTCATAGTCATCATCCTGGTAGATGGCAGCATATTTTTATCAAGAATGTCTTGGTACATTTTTCTATGCATCCTTCCTTCAAGGATAGTAAGTTTTCCAGTACCGTGTGCTAATAAACTACCCCACACCATGATGTTCCACCTCCAAACTTCACTGTCGTTATGGTGTTTTTGGGGTGATGTGCAGTGCCATTTGACCTCCAAACATGGTATTGTGGCATCCAAAGAGTTCTATGTTGGTCTCATCTGACCACACTATATTCTCCAAGGTTTTCACAGGATTGTCTATATGTTGTGCAGCAAACTTTAAATGAGCTTCAATATGCTTTTACTGCAGCAATAGAGTCTTGTGTGGTGAGCGTTCATACAGGCCATGGCGGTTGAGTGCATTACTTATTGATTTCTTTAAAACAATTGTACCTGCTAATTCCAGGTCTTTCTGAAGCTCTCCACAAGTAGTCCTTGACTCTTGGACAACTCTTCTGATAATTCTTTTCACTCCTCTGTCAGAAATCCTGCGAGAAGCACCTGGTCGTGGCCGGTTTATGGTGAAATGTTTTTTCCACCTCCAAAGTATGGCCCCAATAGTGCTCACTGGAACATTCAGAAATTTTGAAATTCTTCTGTAGCCAATGCCATTAGTATGTTTTGCAGCAATATGGCTACAAAGGTCTTAAGAGAGCTCTTTGCCTTTAACCCATCATGAGATGTTTTTTGTTTGACGCCTTGGTAATGAGACACCTTTTTATAGACCATCAGTTGTGACTGAACCAGCTGATATTAATTTGCACTGACCAGGGGCAGGATTGCAGTTGGTGTCCTTCTTGGCTTTCCATGTCTTTTTCACCTTTCTTTCTTCGTGTGTTCAATACTTTTCCCTGTGTCATTCCATTTTCTTACACATAACTTCATTTCTGAACTTATTTGTTTTGTTAGGCATGGATTGTGTAGGTTGTTACCGACGTTGTGAAAATTTCATGTCAATAGAAATATATTTACCTAGAAAAATGGTGACGTATTCAATACTCATTTTACCCTAATCTCCAAAACTAAAAAGCAAAACAGTTTTGGCCTCAGATATACTCTAAAATGAACCTTTTTTTTGTTGTTCTGTGGGTAAAGAACAGGTTCACTTTATCAGTAGACTTCAAAAGTGCACAGCTATTAAATAATTGTGAATGAGGCTTTTAGTCACCCAATATACAATATAATTTGTTTCCAACCAATAGAGGTAAACTATAAGAGGACACACTGCTCCAGGCCTGTGCTGCTGATTTATATACCTGTTTTTGTGAAGTTTCCATGTGCCTTTCACTCTGGCTGTACAGTCTACTTTTCTCTACCTTTTTAGAACAGCACTGGCTGAAGCAGAGTTGGAATATAATCAGCAACATGTCAGCCGATCCATCTATGTAAAGTTTCCTTTGCAGAAACTTCCTCCTAATTTGGCATCTATAATATAGGTAAGTGTTAAAGAAGAATTTAAATACCTCTTCTACAGCTGAATATTAATCTGTTAATGAGGAATTGTCCCCTGCAATCTGCTGGTAAACCAACGCCAACAGCTATGTGCTTTACAAGTGTGCTGAGCTCTCTGCTGGGTTTGGGCTCTGAAACCAGCAGAACAATATTCTTATAAAAGTAAAAATAAATAAAAACAGGAGTTGAACCTGGTCACGTGTCTGGTCAGTCATTTGACACGCTCTTTTCCAAACACAGAGGTCTCCCTGGTGCTTTAAGAAATAACTCCATAGGACACCACAGGCTCCATTTTGCAGCCTGCATTTTATGAATGGGCCACAGAATGCAGGCCATGGTGTGGACTAACCTATTAATATCTGCTCTATATTATAATTGGAGCTCTAAATGTGATTAAGAAGGAACGTCACTTCTATTTACAAAAAAAAAAAGTCAGATACAAATACTGTAGCTTCTGACTTTTTAAGAACCATCCCTTACCAGCCCATGGAGTCCAGTGTTGTCCTTCCCACAGTTGATTTTTCACCTGGTTTGCATTCTCTGGTGCCACTATATTGGAGTTGGGATCCAGCAATGGCATGTGGGAGGCATGGCAGCACTGTGGAATTGGCTTTGTAGTCTCCTGGGATGTGTGACACATCTTAAGAGGCCACAGGTGGGGGGGGTTTAGGCATCTTTCTCGCCTAAGGAAGAATTAAGGAATTGAAGGCAAGTCAAAACCAAACTAATCTTATATCTTCTCTCATTCTAATCCTATTGTATCTACCCTGTAAAAGGAAAGATATTTATACTTGCCTATTCTGAAGTCGCTCCCGTCTAGTCACATGATCAGTTCCCTGCGCTGGCTTCAGTGTAGAGGAAAGATTGCCGATCGAAAAAAAAGTTTCCTTGAATTTCACATGCTGATCCAGCCAGTAAGTCTGTTTTTTTTTGTTTTGGTTTTTTTTAACAGACCTAGCTGTCTTCTAGTGGCAGCTAGAGGATTGAGACAAACCATTTACCACTGACGGGTGCTTACAATGTTCAGATTTTATATATTTATGTTTGAGGTGATTGTAGCCATATTAGTGCACTTGGGACAGAATCAATTTTAGTACTGTCTGATACTTTTTTTCACTAACATACAATTTTTCAGGACAAGCTTTTGGGGTATATCCCCTTCTTAAAGGACCTAGCAGTACTAACACACAAAGTTTAGCAGAATGTTAGGCCCCTTTCACATGGGCAGACTCTGCCTTTCAGATCCGCCTACTAGCAAATAACAGGTCTGTGTCCTCTCCGCTTGTGCAGAGCAGACGTGGACACAGCCCGCTGTTCTCTCTGGGTGGATAGATGTAAACAGACTGTCTGTTTGCTTCCGACTGTCATCCGATCCAACCTGCTAGACGGATGGGGAATGGATCTTCCATCCGTCTATTTTTAGCGGATCAGATGCAGATATGTAAATGCACACATCCGTTTACATCCGCGTTCCCATAGAGAAAAAAGGGTGACCTGATCAGGTCTGCCTGAAAAACGTACAGGAGGACCCAGTCGGTCCACCCATGTGAAAGGGCTTTTAACCAATTGCCCTCCAGAGGATTTACCTCCCTTCCTGACCAGGCCATTTTTTGCGGTACGGCGCTGCGTTACTTTAACTGACAATTGCGCGGTCATGCAATGCTGCACCCACATTAAATTTACATCCTTTTTTTTCCACAAATAGAGCTTTCTTTTGGTGGTATTTGATCACCTGTGCGGTTTTTTTTTTTTTTTTTTTTGTACTATAAATAAAAAAAGACTGACAATTTTGAGGAAAAAAACAATATTTTTAACTTCTTGCTATTAAACATGTCCAGTAAAAAAAAATCTAAGTTTGTCATAAATTTAGGCCAAAATGTATTCTGCTACATCTTTGCTAAAAAAAAAATCCCAATACGTGTAAATTAATTGGTTTATGTGAAAGTTATAACATTTACAAATGGCGATATATGTACTGGAATTTTTTTATTTATTTTTAGTAATTGAGGCGATCAGTGACTTATTGGGGGTCTGCGGCGGGCATTCTGACACTGGGGGGAACTGACATGGTGTCCCTGACATTGCCAATGACCAATTCAATGATCAATGCTAATAAAAAGCACTGACACTGTACTAATGGTACTGGGTAAGAAGGAGTTAACATATTGGGCGATCAAAGGATTAACTGTGTGCTGTTTCACTATAGGGGCTGTGTGTTTGCTTCACTGTAAGCACAATGCTTTGTATGGCTCTGCTATGCAGAGTCATACAAAGCAGTGTGCAGGAGCTGACAGGGGAGAGATCTGTATTGTTTGTATACAGGTCTGTCCCCCATCAGAGATACTCGGTGATCACCGGGTGCCAGTGGATCATCACCGGCCAGGACCCGCTGATTGGCAGCCGAGGCTGCGAATGGTGACGCGGGTAGGGCATGCCCCTACCTGGAACTGCAAAATCACTTATATATACGTGATTTTGCGCACCCGTGCCACCCTGTAGCAGTATTTCTGCTATAGGGCGGTGTGGAACTGGTTAAAGTAAGACCATCTCTGAGAGGAAAAAAAAACAAACAAACGTACACCATTGCTGTGTATGTTTGTTTTGTTTAGTTTTTTTTCCCCCTTTAGAGATTCTTACTTTAATATTCTGCTAAAACTTTTGTGTATTAGTACTGCTTAGGTCTTGAAGAAGAGGACCCCAGAAGCTTGTCCTGAAAAATTGTATGCAAATACAAAAAGTATCACAGACAGTACTCTATTTTATGTAAAACCTTTATCCCAAAAGGTTGTAGTTTCTTAAAAAGCATTAACTGGAGTTCAGCTTTAATTTGTTAGTCAAGTCCATCTGAATCTGCTAGTCTAAGACTACTCTTTCCCCAGATTGACATCGTTTCTATCAAAAAGGGACTCTAATGGTGTGGAGACACTTAGACTAACTTACTAGCTGGAACAACAGGTGAAAATAAAGGAAAAAAGCCAAAAAAGATACTAATGTAGCCACCATATTTAACCCCTTTACACCCATCCCTGGCATCCCTTTAGTAGGGTCTGTACGTCCAGGGGGCAGGAATGATTGCCAGTTATGTGACCACAGTGTTTAGCTGTTACAGTGGTGTTACAGGAGCTGGTCCTAACGGCTAAAGATCGTTATTGGGGACCAAGAACTGTCTTTGACAGCTCGGTTTCTGTGCTGGGAGCTGGCAGCGAGCATGCTCTCAGTTTATGTGCAACGTGTGGTCATTAAACACCGCCTTTTTGCCTCTACACATACTGCATGTGTTATGCATGCAGCAACAGGATAACATATTGGCAAGCTGCAATTTATTTCATTTTTTGGTTTGGGGTTCACCCTGCTTAAGTAATGACAACGTTATTGTTGAATATAGCAGCCCATAGCAAAAATCTAAAAATTGCTCTGGTCCACAGGGGGTGTACAGGTGTGAGAAATGAAGTGGTTAGGAGAATGTTTGACTGAAGCAATCTGGAGAGTTTGTTCTTGTGTACAAAAACCCCACTAAATAAGTCTTTCATTTGTAGATGGCACCACGAAAGTTAGTGCTCTGATTTGGACAACACAACCATGGACCATTCCTGCTAACCGGGCTATCTGTTATATGCCAGCTTCATCGTACGTCAATATTGTTTACCTCTACTTTAACTTCTGGTTTATATAAAATTGTACTATGAGTTACATGGACAGCTTTTCTGTATTTTTTTTTAGGGGGGGAAGAAGCACAGATCCGGCTTAAAAGCTATAAGTACATCATTAAAAGACATATGGGGACTGTCATAGCTGCCAATAGATTTGTAAAACAATGCACATTCTCTTCTTAAAGCCTAAATCTGGTCAAATAGAAAATTATCCTTTGCATTAGGGCTGCATCCGCATTGCAAAGGTTTATAGCTTGTTTTGTCTAGGGGAGAGGAGAAACAGATTTACTTACCTGATGCTCTATTTCCTTGAAAAACAGTGCTCCCCCACAATTCATCAGTGGACACCCTCAGTGTCCTCACGTCCAGTGCAGGGCTATGGATCCCCCTGGTCTTGCAGATGTCAGGACCCTAGACCAGCCTTTTTCAACCAGAATGCCTTGAAGTTTCTTCAGGGGTGCCTTGGAAAAATGTCTAAAAATTGCCCAAAACTTGTATACAAGCCAGCAGGTGGAACAAGCCTGCCTGTTCAGTTACATAAAGCCACAGGTTTTCATTGTGCACCATTACAACCTTCTAGCTGCCGGCATGCTGACAACCAATGACATCATCAGCTGATAAGGAGGTTGTCAGCTGCTTGCACAGCTTCCTAGTTTGCCCCTCTCCCGCCCCTCTCCATCAGTGTTGGGGTCACATTAGCTCAGTGATGGAGAAAAACTGAGGGAGAAGAGAAACATCAGAATACTACTCAGTACCAGTGTGCAGAAGTGTATTTGCTTTGGAAGAATAAACCACCTCTAATGTTGGGTGTCCTATATGTGTAGATGTTGCTGGTTATATAAAAAATATTAGAATAGTTTTTCACATTTTAGAATCTGGTGCCCTTTTAAAATTATGAAGTCTTGAGGCACCCCATTTTAGAATGCCCTAGAGTAATGGAAGCATGGGGGTGCAGAAGCTGCGGGGAACAGGAGAGGAGGATTGGTTAAATGAACTTGTGTTTATTCTTCCCCTAGACATAAACTAGTGATTAACCCTTGCAGTGGGGCTGTGTGATAATTTTTCATTTCTCTAGAGATGGACTTTAAAAAGCAGGAAGTGTGTGTGTGTGTGTGTGTGTGTGTGTGTGTGTGTGTGTGTGTGTGTGTGTGTGTGTGTGTGTGTGTGTGTGTGTGTGTGTGTGTGTGTGTGTAATGAGCAAATATATGTACAAATATAATGATAATTTTTCTTTTGTTTTAATCAGTTCAAAATATTAGCATACATAAAGTTACTTATGCTATACTGATGACTTAAAAAAAAAATAAGAAGTTGTGGCATGCCTTTGCAATGAATTTGCTTCTGTAATTCCAGATATTCTTTGGTGAAGTGTCTAACATCAGGAGAGCTTTATATTTTGGCTACTGAACTTGCTGATTCCACATCACTTTCCCTGGGAACTAAGTTTGAAGTAATTTCAACATTTAAAGGTACATGTTCTTGCAGATCAGTGGTAGTTAACCTTCTTTATATAGGGGGCCTCAAGCACAGTCCCTGACATCACCAAACATAATATTCAGTGAATGTAATACTACAGAGATTGCAAACATGCAGCCGGAGAGGCTCATAGATAGCATATAATGCATCAAAACATACTGATCTCATGTAACCCTTGTTTAGGGAAGTTGTCTTCTCTAAGCAGTGACGCTGCACAAATCCAAACAGAAAATCCTGCACTCCAGCAATGTTCCAGAATTTTCAAGAGACTTTCTCAAGATGATTGATGGAGCCTAATGCTGCAGAGAACACTCTGTGATAGGAGGGGAGTCTGGTCACAATCTCTGACAGGTCATGTGAATGGGCTCACCATCTCTTATGGATTTTCCCTTGTTTCAGAGTATTAAAGCAAGCAAAATGAAGGTACATTTGTAAGGCCTCTTTAACACGGGCGTACTGTAGTGTACACCCATGCCAGGGCCATGTTTGCCTGTACGAGGATGCACAGGTGTTCCACGCATCCCTGTGCAGCCAGTCCCATTTATTTCAGTCTCGATGAAAGCGGGTGTGTGGCCCCAAACGCAGACAGTGGTGTCAGATTTTGAGCTGTGGCTGTGTCTGTACAGTATGTGTAATAAAATGGAATGACACAAGGAAAAAGTATTGAGCACATAAAGAAGGAGAGGTGCAAAAAAGGCATGAAAAGCCAAGACACTAGCTGAAATCCATCAGTAAATAGAAAGCAATCCTGCCCTTTGTCAGTGCAAAATAAAAACTGATGGCCTATAAAAAGGTGTCTCATTACCAAGGTGTCACACTTGAAACATCTCATGATGGATTAAAGCAAAATGCTTTCTCATGATCTTCACAGCCTTATTGTTGCAGAACATACTGATGGCATTGGTTACAGAAGGATTTCTAAACGTCTGAATGTTCCAGTGACCATTATTGGGGCCATAATCTGGAAGTGTAAAGAACATCATTTCTCCATAAACTGGCCATGACCAGGTGCACCTCACAAGTTTTTTGACAAAGGAGTGAAAAGAATTACCAGATATACATTGTGTTATTGATGGAAATTTATTCCCCGTCCCTAATGTTGATCATCATTTAGATGACACTTTTTTTTTTTTTTTTTATTCAATTTTGTTTTAAAGTCCTTCTCAAAATGTGCTAATGCTGTTCCTCATCTTGCAGGGACGGATCTTGAAACCGGTTCATGTGATCACCCCACAATACCAGGAAGGGTCTCTCCGTTTGTCCCAGCCAATCATGTCACCATGGGAAAAGGTACAGGCCTTGTGCACACTGCACCTGCCCATGGCATTGAAGACTTCAGTGTCTCTTCTCATCATAAATTATCAGTGGTAAGTTAGGGTAGTCTCCATATAATATTTTACATGATGAAGAAAGAATAACGTGATCCCTGTGTTATGATCTTGCTAAAACGAATGTATATTTTTTTTAATATTTATTACATCGTGGCCTAAAATATAAACCATCATAACCATAATAAATCCTTGTGCAATTTTTTTTTCTTTTCCTCTGGTTGCATATTAAATATTGAGTATGAATGTTTCATATTTACCACTTTAAAGCAGCAGATGATGAACTCTAAGCTGGAGCAGCACCCCCAGCCTGTTGTGAAGTTGGTCTAACTAAAGTCAGACCGATCCATCTGATTCAGATACACACAAAGTGCTTCAACGTTTGCAAGCAGTGTTATACATTCTTAGTGAAATGTCCAGCTTGCTTATTGTTGCCCCATGAATCAAAGTGGTGGGAGAGGTGATTGCTGGCTCCTTTTTGGTCTCTTCCCCATTGACCTCCAATGTGATGTGACTATGTATCTTCCTTTCCCTAGTATGGACACAGTAAGGGTTTACTTGAAATAAGTTCACCTTTTAGAAGCATGTTACACTCATATTTAGGTTGTAAAATGCTCCTGTACACCCACCTCCCGCTGCCAGCGCTCCCCACTCTGTGACAGCAGGCAGGGAAACTTCTCCCTGCACCTGCTGTTACAATTTGAAAACATTGTGACCAAGTGGGGCTACGCCAGTTTTCTGTGATTGAATGAACTACAAGTACCGTTGTTCGCCCCCCAGCAGACGGCTTGTAGCTCTCAACGATCTGTGAGGGCTCTGATGAGCTCTGTCGTACTTCATTCTTTCTTCCTGCAGTTCAGTAACTGCCTGTACAGATGGTACGAGCAGCTGACTGAGAGTTTGCAGGATCTTGGCAATGGTTTACAGGCTGCAATGTAAACAAAAAAATAATGCACCTTTTTTTTACCTGCAAAAAAAAACTGCATGGTTTTGGTTTTTTTTTTTTGAAAGGTGAACAACCACTTTAACCACTAGGGGACCGCCCACAGTACATTTACTGCTGCAAAGCGGCCCCTGCAGGCAGTATCACGTTTATAAACATCATCCTGTTTACATGGTAGGGGGCGCGTGCCCGCCCTGCCGGCAGCACCGATCGCGGCCGCTGGTGTCAATATCCGGGTCCCGGCCGGTGATTACCCACCGGCTCCTGGCGATTGCCGGCAAACAATGGCATGGAGCAGAGCTGCATTGTTTTCAATGCAGCTCTGCTCCCTGTCAGTTTCCAGCACTGTTCAGGAGAGCAGAGCTTAACTTTCCGGGACAGTGTGTTTCTGTGAAGAAAACAGTCTCGCCCACTAGTAAAACACTCCCCTCACACAGTTAACCCTTTGATTGCCTAAAAATGTTAACCCCTTCCTCCCCACTGCCATTAATTTTTTTGCACTGATCACTGTATTGGTGTCACTGGGGATGTCAGTGACCCCAAGTCAGTCCCCCCCCCCCCCCCCCCCCCCAGTGTCAATGTCCACTGCAGTCCCGCCATAAGTCATTGATTGCCGCCATAAGTCTCTGATCGACGCTATTATTAGTATACAAGAAAAAAAAAATTCAGTATCTATACCGCCATTTGTAAACGCTATAACTTTCACGTAAACCAATTAATTTACATGTATTGGGATTTTTTTTTTAGCAAGACATGTTGCAGAATACATTTTGGCATAAATTTATGAGCAAATTTGATTTTTAAATTTTTATACTGGACATGTTTTATAGCAAAAAGTCCAAAATATAGTTTTTTTTCTCAAAATTGTCGGTAGTTTTTTTTTTATATAGCGCAAAGCATAAAAACTGCACAGGCGATCAAATGCCACCGAAAACCCAATTCATGGGGGAAAAAAGGATGTAAATTTCATTTTGGTGCAGCGTTGCATGACCGCGCAATTGTCAGTTAAAGCGACGCAACGCCACAACACAAACTGCTTTTGTAACTGATTCCTGACCACGCTATAGCATAAACACTGCTACAGGACGGCAGGGGTGCGCAAAATCACATATATATATATACACGTGATTCGCGCTTCTGTGGTTTTCACGCCCCTCCCAGATAGCCCGTCAGTACACCAGTCATCACATTTAACCCCTCGATTACCAGGAAGACACTCCTACACAATAAACCTTCATTGCTAGTATAGTGTCTGAACGGATCAATATCTTTGATCAGATCAGCACTATACCACATTAGTATAACGTCCCCAAAAATGCAGCATTAGCGGGATCAGCCCCGGCACCTGTCAGCACCTGCGTTTAGCCCTTACGCTTACCCCCCCCCTTCTCCCCCAGCAAGTGCAATGTCAGTAGGTCACTGTCACTTGATACATTGCACACAAAACCGCAATGTTCGCAGAATCAGTCCTGATCTCTGTTAGCACTTGCTGGTAAATTCTGATGACTCTCATATGCAGCAGAGTGCCAGTACTAGTGCCGCGCTACCGTTTGGTGAACTGGCGAGTACTAGTGGCCTAGTACATCCTGGTCTTTCACATACCTCTTATCTTATAAGCTCCAAGGAGCAAGGCCCTCCTAACCCTCTTGTATTGAACTGTATTGTTGCTGTATTGTGTCCCGTTATATTGTAAAGTGCTGAGCAAACTGTTGGCGCCATGTAAATCCTGTATAATTATAATAATAATACCAGCACTGCAGTATGACTTGGCGATGTGGCGAGCCCCATAAGTGCAGTACAAGCTGGTGCGGTGGCAAGCACAAGTGTTGTCCCGCAGCCACCAAGAATTCGCACACAGGCCCTTTAGAGCCCCTAGTATCCTTCTGGATGTGCTTGCAAATCCCGATTGGCAGCCCACAAATTCTGCAGCAACCGTACTTCCCCCATTTTCTGCCTAACCCGGAATTCAGGTGGAAATAGCAAATTTAACTACTCCCCTTGATTTTTTGGAGCTTTTTTTGCCGGAAGATCTGTATGCAATTTGGATCAAAGCATTTTATATGCACAACAATTTATCGCCGCAAAACCAAATTTAAACCTTGCCAGACCATTCGCATGGAAACTCATTACAGTTTCCGAATTTAAATTTTTTTTGGACCTAACCCTCAACATGGGCATTACTAAAAAAAATTAATTGCGGTTGTAATGGATCCTCAGACCCGATTCATCATATGTCCGTGTTCTCTGTTGCCATGGCCAGGCATAGATATGAGAGTATAATGTGTTTTATGCATTTCAACGACAGTACACTCTGTCATCCTTGGGGTGACCCTGAATTTGACCGGCTCCACAAAATTCAGCCCCTCGCAAATCACCTTAACCAAAAATGTGCAGATGTCTATACTCCCCAGCAAAAGATCTGCGTTGATGAGTACCTCATTAATTTTTCTGGCTGCCTTGCATTCAAACAATTTCTCCCCTGCAAGCGTGCCAGATATGAGGTCAAGATGTATAAGACTTGTGAGAGGACAATAGGTTATACTTATAAGTTTTGGATTTATGAGGGAAAAGATAGTCACGTGGAGCCCCCCCAAATGCCCACACTACATGGGCAGTAGTGGCAAGATAGTTTGGGACTTGGTGTCATCCTTTTTCTATATGGGGTACCACTTATACATGGACAATTTTTATTCAAGCATGCTACTATTTAGACATTTGTACAATCTTGGAACTGGTACATGTGGCAAAGTGTGACCTAATGTGTGCCCACCATTATATGTGGGTGGATGCAGGGCAGTATATTCTAATGGTGGGCATACCACACTTTTTTTCTGGCAGAGATTTCTTCTCTTTTTTTCATTCAGTCCACAGGCTGCATAAAAAAAAAAGAACATAGTATATACAGTAATTCCTCGGTTTACGAATGCCTCTGATAACGTAATTTTCGGTTTACAAATAAAAATCCATTGCAAATAATGCCTCAGTTTACACATTTTTTACTAATTTTTTTCACAATATGAAGTGTCACTGCTGATTTTTAAATGCAATTGCCGTCTTTGTTTTTTCTTCACTATAGCTCACAACATTAGCTGTCAGTTTTCCCCTGGAGCTAAAGGATACTTTGTATCTTTTAAGAAACTGAAAGGAAACATTGTTTCTTTTAACTTGTGAAAATAAACTAAAAGAAACTTTCTCTCTTTTAGCTGGAGGGGAAAAGTGACTGCTGAATTTCTGAATTTTCTTTATTTCCTCATTAAACTTCCTGACTATACCTATCACCGTTTCGGAGGCCTTGATAGCACCAAACCCCCCCAAACGAACACTTTTTGGAAAGTAAACACCCCAAGGAATTTGATCAGATGCATGGTGAGTATTTTGCAGATCTCGTTTGTTGCCACAAGTTTTTGAAAATTGAAGAGATACATTTTTTCTTTTATTTTTTTATATTTCAAAACCTTGTGAGAAAAAAACGAGATCTGCAAAATACTCATGCCTCTTTTTAAATTCCTTGGGGTGTTTACTTTCCAAAAAGGGGTGATTTAGGGGGGTTTGGTGCTATCCTGGTATTTCAGGGCCTTCGAAACTGTAATAGGTAGTGAGGAAGTGAAATGAGGAAGGTACGCACCTTCAGGCTTTGTGGTCATTGGATTTCTGGCTCCAGTTTGTGGCTAGGCTTCCAAAAAGTCTCACACACGTGGTACCCCCATACTCTGTGGAATTTCACCCCAAAATACATTCTGCTACTTCTACATATACCCTCGGCTTGTGCGAGAAATATATCATTTAAATGACAACTTTGTGTAATAAAAAAAAAAAAAGTTTGTCATTTTCCAGAAACTTGTGGAAAAAAAATAAATCTTCCATGGACTCAATATACCTCTCAGCAGATAGCTTAGGGTGTCTACTTTCCGAAAAGAGGTAATTTGGGGGTGTTTGTACTATCCTGGTGTTTTAGCACCTCAAGAAATGTGATGGGTAGTCAGAAAGTAAAAGCTGTGTAAATTCCATTATCTATACCAGTGGTCGGCAAGCCGCGGCTCGCGAGCCACATGCGGCTCTTTACACACTGTAATGCGGCTCTTCTGTGTGCCGGGCGCCCGCTCCCCTCCCTCCTCTCGGGCGGCCGCCCCAAAAGTCAGGACTCTGCAGCTAGCCCAGCTATGGGCAAACTACGGCCCGGCGGACCTTTTAATCCGGCCCGCGGAGCGTGGCAAACATTGGCTGTCAGGATGTAGGCGGGGCAGCGTGACGAACTCCTCTCCTCTCACAGTCCGCCCTGAAGACCGGAACGGCGCGGGAACACGGCGAGAGGAACGCGCGGAGCAAAGGTAAGTGAATTGACACAATATGGGGAATGAATTACTATAGGGGGGATGAATTACTATATGGGGGATGAATTACTATATGGGGGATGAATTACTATATGGGGGATGAATTACTATATGGGGGGATGAATTACTATATGGGGGATGAATTACTATATGGGGGATGAATTACTATATGGGGGATGAATTACTATATGGGGGATGAATTACTATATGGGGGATGAATTACTAGGGAGGATGAATTACTATAGGGGGGATGAATTACTATATGGGGGATGAATTACTATATGGGGGATGAATTACTATGGGGGATGAATTACTATAGGGGGGATGAATTACTATAGGGGGGATGAATTACTATAGGGGGGATGAATTACTATAGGGGGGATGAATTACTATATGGGGGATGAATTACTATATGGGGGATGAATTACTATATGGGGGATGAATTACTATGGGGGATGAATTACTATATGGGGGATCGTGGTTTTGGCGAGATTTGGCTCAGTTGAAAAAAAAGGTTGCCCACCACTGATCTATACCATAGCTTGTAAATGCTATAACTTTCACACAAAGTAATAAATATACACTTATTGGGATTTTTTTTTAACCAAAAACATGTAGCAGAATACATTTTGGCCTAAGTTTGATGAAAGTTTAGTTTTTTTGGATATTTTTTATGACAGAAAATGAAAATATCGTTTTTTTAAAAAAAAATAAAAAATGTTTTTCTCAAAATTTTTTTGTTTATAGCGCCAAAAAATAAAAAGTGCACAGGTGATAAAATACCACTAAAAGAAAGCTCTATTTGTGTGAAGAAAAGGACATAAATTTCATTTATGTACTGTATTGCATGACCGTGCAATTGTCCGTTAAATTAGTGCAGTGCTGTATAGCAAAAAAATGGCGTAAATTGCAGTATCTATACCATAGTTTGTAGACGCTATAACTTTCACACAGGTGATCAAATACCACCAAAAGAAATTTCTATTTGTGTGAAAAAAAGGACTTAAATTCCGTTTGGGTGCAGCATTGCATGACTGCGCAATTAGTTGAATTAGTGCAGCGCCGAGTAGCAAAAAGAGGCCTGGTCATTAAGGGGGGTAAATCCTCTAGAGGGCAAGTGGTTAAATAGAACCTGTCACATGCATTATGCTACCGCATAGTAGGCTTTTTGCGCTCTTGTGATGGCAAAAAAGAAAAGTAAAAAGTTTTAAATGTATTGTTTTACTGATCACTGGTGTAAGGAGCCCTTCTCCTGTTGACCACCAGTGAGTGTGGGTCACTCACTGGTGGTTTGAGAGTTATTTTTTTTTTCCAGGGATTCCCAGAGACCCTAAAATTATTTTACCTTTTTTCTCCATGGTAAAATGGTGAAGAGAGATTGATCAATGTTACACTGTTAAGCTAGCCTTATGATGTTTTTTTTTTTTTTAATTAGGCTAAATGGAAAAAAAAAAAAAAAGTTAATAGATTCCTCCATCCATACTAAACACAGATGAATGAATGTCCCACTGTGGCTATTTTATTCTGAAATCCAGAACAGTGCTTGCATCTGATTGGATGACAACTTTCTGCCAAGCTATTTTGATTTTTCAGTCAAAGGATGTTGGATGGAATGGTGTTGACAGGGTCACTATGGAGCAAATTTAGGCCTGTTCATCAAGAATATTTGCTCTGTATATGGCCAGCTTAAGACCTTGGTTTGTGCATGATTCACTAAACGGGTCTAGTTTTCAGTTAAGTAGTTAGCTAATTTTTGATAAAGCTGAAAAACACTTTACTTACATGATTTGTTTATCTTCTTTTTAAAGGACTGCCTGGTGGATGAAGCTGGTTGCTACACTTCTGGAGCAGGGGCTGACTTAGAAAACAAAGCTGTACTTGAAGATGGCAATGAAGCTGGTATGTTCTGCTATTTTTTAAAATACTCAAGGACCTCCAGAATTCAATACAGTGTTTGGGACAGCTATCTAGAGAGACAAGTTCAGATATGATTTGATGATTTATTTATTTATCACAGGTGTTTATATATTCTGTCAATTTACATACTGTATGGTCACATCAGAAACTTACAATCTAAGGCTTTTGCCACTGGATGGGAGAGCAGCACAGCCATGGGTGCACTTCTTCAGATTGTGGCATGGCTAGTTTTCACTGGAATACATGCCCAATGCTCCCTTGCTGTCAGTGGGCGGTCCTGAGGCTTGTCCTGGAGTGAAGGGCGAGCTGTATGTGCTGGTGCTCTGTGGGTTGCCATATACACTTGTAACCAGTGGGAGCACCCATCCTAAGTTGGCAAAACTGCTTTTGCATAAACTCATACTAAATGAATATTGTCATCCTAGGACAGAAGCAGCTCATACTGTTAGGATGAACTGAAAGAAAGGAAGCTTGTATTTAAAAAGTGAATATCTTTACAAAAGTAAAGTTGTGATAAATAGTTTAGTTTAGATACATTTTAATTGCTTCATGATTTGTTTGTTAGACAGGGACAGTTATTTTCTGCAGTTCTTTATAATGTATTCTTTATTTCCAGTCATAAAGATGTTACTAGGTTCCAAGAACTTACTAAAGGAGGAGAGTTTTGTCCATAGCTACCCATATGACTGGAGGACCAAGAAGCCTGTTATTATTCGTGCCAGCAAACAGTGGTTTGTCAGCACCACCAACATTAAAGACAAAGCTCAGGTAACAGAGCAGCCTTTTAAAAGGCATCTAAATAAGCTATTAGGTCTCTTGCACACGGGAGTAAAAAATGCTGAGATTTTTACTGATCTGAGATGAGATGAATGGTTGTCTATGGGACAATGCACAGCTGAGTAAAGATCAGTTATACAGTGATGAGTACAGAGCTCTAAAACAAAAACAGAAAATGTTATATTTGAGTGCAGTAATTTACTTGCATATGTGTGTTTACTCATCTATAAGCATGTTTAAATGAGTATAAATGAGTATAGTACAACACTGGCAATGAAGAAATATTTTACTTGTCTATATGCTTAAGCACAATTACTCAACATTGCTCAGGTCTTTACACACAATTTTTTTACTCAATAGGTTCCTGAGTAAACATCAGTACATTTTGAAGCCCGTGTGCAAGGGGCCTTAATGTTTAAATTAGTTTGTAATATTTTCATTGTATGTAAGTTATCGCCCCAAAATGAATACTTGTGTAGCTTACTCCACAGGGGTAATTTATTCCATCTGTTAAGCAATCACTTGCTGCTTCTAGTGATTTCCATTGTAATGGCCTATTTATATTCCTCACCCCCAGGTTAAATTTGCCATAGTGATCATTGGTCCTCGTTACCTGAGCTGTCGTATCATGTAGGAATTGCTTTCTGCACAAGCTGGAATCAGAGCTCCCCTGTCTCAGTAAAGCTCACCGCACATTACAATTTCCTTCTCTGCAGTTTCCTTTAGCTTTACCAACAACTGTGTTGTACAAGGGCCTACCTGATAGGATACACATTGGATTTTTTTGGTAAATCTTGTGTTTTTTTTTTTTTTTTTTACCTCCCGTTACATTCTCCAAAGTTAGGGAAAAAAAATCCAACATGACGTGAGATCCCCCTCATAACTGGTACAGCAGATGTACAGACTCCGGAACTCACCCCGTCATCCAACTGGTAAAGTTTTGGTTGTAACGACTTACCTAACAGGTCATTCTTCTGACATTTACAGTGGAGACATGCATTGCATGACAAGCATAATCTACACCATTGATGTATTATCCCTTTCTGATCCTCGCAATGGTAGCTCCTCCGCCTTCTAAACAGAGTTGTTGATAGGAGATGTGTCCTCTTTTTAATAGTAGCCACCAGTTTCAGGCTTCAGCTGAACTGTGGTCAGAAATGGAGACAGACAATATTATGATCTATGGACTCAAGCATTGGGGACGATCCCAAAAATTGACCCAGCTGTTTATCATACATAAAGTACATTACACTCCACAATTACTCCATTTCATGGGGTAAAGTTACAGCGCCTTATTTTCTTAGACCTGTAAGATATGCAGGCACTCCACTTCATATGCTATGAAGGTGCCCTGTATTGTTCAGGTAGTGGACATCCATTTTTGAAACAAAAAAACTTCTCTTTTACTCAAATACCTTTAGCCTGTAAAGTGTCTATTCTGGGCATTATCCTGAAACATCTGATATCCCCTATACATAGACTATTATGGATTTGTACTCTATTCCTTAGCCCAAAACTAATATTAAACTAAACTTTACTACAGCGTCGTAATGTTTAGTCCACACCACAAAAAAGCACTCCGTTCCAGTGCAATTTTGATGCAGTTTGCTATGTTCCAGTACAGTTCTGTGCAGAAAAAATGCTGCATGTTCTACTTTTTTTTTTCTGCACCGGAAACTGACTGCACTGGTGTGAACTAGGGCCATTGGAATACATGGAAAACACAGTGCATGCATTTTTGATGCAGAAAAAAAACGCACTGGACTGCATCTAATGTAAAGCCCCGATGCCATAAATACCATCCTAGATAGGAAAAAAGCTAACCTATCAACATAGAGGCTGCCCAAAACAGTTCTAGAAAATTTGGTTTCCATGGCTATCCTCTACAGAACTTGTCCCTGCTATTTCTTTAATTTCCACTTGACCCCATGGATTGTGTTATTACTCTGTGATGCTTATTGTTGTTCTTCTGCAATCTAAGCTTTTAAGACATTTAGATCATACACTGTGAAAACACATTTTATTTAATTTCTTCATTTCCCCAAAAAATTCTGACCCAAAAAAAAACTTCAAAATAATTGCCATGCTTCTTAAAATACCTTGGACTGCCTACTTTTCAAAAAGGGGTCATTTGGATGATATTTGTACTGTCCTGGCATTTTAGCTCCTAAAGAAATTAGATAGACCATCCGTATATCAGGACATGATCAATTTTCAAATATATACCCTAGTTTGTAGTCTCTATAACTTTCACACAGACTAATTATATACACTGGTTTGGGTTATTTTTACCATAGAAATGTAGCTGACTTCCTTTTGGCCTAAATGTATAAGGAAAGATTGTTTGTAAAATGGGGAGCACAAGATGTATATTGTATATGGGTAACTGATGGATGTCACTGCTTTAAATTATGTGTGTAAGAATGACTTTTATTTTTTTTGTCACAGGAAGCTTTAAAGAAAGTGAAGTTTGTTCCGGCCTCAGCCACCAACCGCATGTTGAAAATGCTTGAAGAACGAACATACTGGTGTATATCGAGACAGCGTAGTTGGGGAGTTCCGATCCCAGTATTCTATCACAAGAGACGCGAGAGCCATTGATGAACAAGTAGGTGGAAGTTTTCTGTTTAAAGCCATGTTGCCCATTGGGGCATACAGATAGTCACTGGGTGGCGTATTTGAAGTATTTATGAAAATGGGGTTTATCGAGCAAAAAAGAACAATTTTTTTGTACAGTAGTCTGTGCGCTTCTCTATTGTCCATTGAGGGACGATATTGCTTATGAATGTTTCGCCATTACAATTTTCAGCCAGCAGGTGAAGCTCTAGGCTTCTTTTTACATGTTTACTAGCATAAGCATGTAACTAGGTGTCCTTTAGCTGTCACCAACATAAAGCATCTGGTGTAACAGAATCACTTCCAGTTTGCCAGGTCAGTATGCCTTACATCAACGTCCCCTTTCTGCCAAGCATAGCAAACTTTGCTTACTATATCTTCAATTTGTGACTGAACATGAAGCCTCTGTACAGAGGAGAGGAGAATGAGTACTTGTGTATTCAATATATTTTTATTTTTCTCATTCTCTATGTCAGAGTCAGAAGTGAAACATCAGGGTTCTGTTTAGACCCCTGATATTTCACCAAAGACCCCTCAACCCCCCACCCCAACATGGCTGTAAAAAAACATAAAAAGTATAAAATAAACAACAAAAGATAAAACAGAAAAGGGTTTCATGTACACAGAGAGCATATTTTTGCACTTAGGATTCACTAGTGTTTCCTACAGCCCCGGATGTCAGCCTGTACAAATCAGTGGCCAGCTGACAGACGCCATGGCTGTACACATGTAACCACACATTCTGGACACAAACTGGGACACTCATACATTCCTTTATGCATATAACCAGTTGGATGTGCTGTTAAATTAGTACAACTACAGCTTCTGTTGGCCTGTCATTCATTTGGACAGAAATACATTTGTTCTTGATGCTGTACTGCCCTTTGAGGGTGTGAATGAGGCTTAAAATACACTTATACACAAATTATACACACACTGTACACATGTGCACTATAAAACATAGCAGTAAAGAATGTTGTGTGTTCACATCAATGGGAACGCATAACCCAAGTGCTGCAGTGCATTGATACAATGCATTGCAGTGCTTTTTTTTTTTTTTTTTTTTTACTTCTTAAAATTACTTTTATGCAACTCTATGTATGGCAGCATATTTTGACACTGGAGCACAGTGTAATGCACTACGTACCATAAAGTGTGTGCCTGCATCATTTTAGTGCAATGTACATCAATGCAGCACACACATGGCACTGCGGATCAGGCATTACCACAACACATGTGAAGCCAACCTCTTCTTTTTTTTTTTTTTTTCATCTTAAGTTACTTATGTACAGTTTTTTTTATACCTTTTGCGTTTCACTATTTCACAGAAAGAAAGGCATTTACAGATTATTATTATAATTAATTTCTATAACTATCATGGGACAAAATAAGCAGCACCATCTTTTTTTTATTCTACTGGCCCTGTACTTTAAGAAGATGTATGAGTAGGGTCTTTTACAAAAGCTGCAAGTGAAAAATGAAGAACAAAACTGAAAAATTGCAAAAGTAATCTGACCACCTAAAGTTTAAGTGACGCGCAAGGCCTGGCAGTAAAAAGGGTTAAATTATATTTTAACTCAGTTGCAGCTGACCTGTTTTTTGATGTTCTGGTCGCATTACTTTTAATTTTTCTACTTATTCAACAGTCATAAAATGTGTTCAGTGGTATATTTACCTGACCAAAGAAAGCAAATAGGATGATTTAATTGTAAGGGTTTACACACACTTTAAGAGCCAGTTCATACCAGTGCATTGATGTGCATTTTAGCTCAGCTGTAGAACATAGATCAATGGAAGGACATCTAAAAAAACAATAATTTCTAATGTGTCCCATTCACACCACAATGCTACGCATGCATGTCAACAGATGTCAAAATGTATGTCAACAGACGTCAACACGTGATAAAACGTGACTAAAATGGATGGGAATGTACACGCATTTTCCATACATCATAGCTTAAGATCGTGTGAATTGGTCATAAGGAAACCGGTTTTGAGTGTAATATATTGGCTGCCATCACTAACCTCCTTCTGAAAATGCTTGGCTGTCTTTGGTTTCTTTGCTTTCTGTTGATCTGCATATTTATTCCAGGCCAACAACGTGGTACCTGTAATCAAAAGATCAGCCTAAGAGCCAAGCACCTAGCATTTTCTGAATGAAAGATTAGCCATGGCTGCCCCCTGTTTCTCCTCGGCACAGCTTTCTGTTAACTGTTTTCTAATATAAAAGCCTGCTTTTCAGAGTTTATTTGCCCAGGCTCCAACTACACATTCAGCTGAGTGAGTCATATGGGTAACACTGGCCATAGATGATCATTTTTTTTCATTCAGCCTGCAGGGCTCAGTGCAGTCGGAATACACTGATCAGCAGCTGCAGCTAATGATCACCAAAGGTTTTCTAACCTGTTCATTCAGAAGAAGTCGCTCTAATGGTCGACATTTGTCAAACTGGGAAGGCCACACACTGATCATATTTTGAACCATCTATGGCTGCCTTAATTTATCTTACGTCTCCCCTCCTCGCTCTTAGGCTCTGTATAGAGTTTCAGTTAGTGGGAGAATGCTTAAAAAAAGAACGTTTTCTGCCATGCCCACTTTTTATACAATCTATAATTCCTCTATTGTCATGGGTGCACTGTGTTTTAAGTGATTGTAAACCCTTACATATACCCAATGAAGTGACTGGCCTCAGGTGATAAACAAGTCCTCCTACCTAAGTTGTATCTGTTTATCTGCAGTCTTCTATTTACAGCTGTTCATAGTGCAGAATCAATACAGCTTGTCTGAGCTGTCAGAAAAAGGGAGTGGATAGCTCAAATAACTCCCTGCAGAGCTCAGTGAGGAGAGCTGATTGGAGGGAAGGGACACCCCCCCCCCCCTTCACACAGATCACAGCAACGTGTATTTATACCCACTCAGATGTTAGTGGTGCGGGATCCCAGTGCTATGGTCACATTTCCGACCCTCCAGGCCATTTTGCAAAATATATGACCCCAGACTGTTTTGTGAATGACTTGGAGGAGATGGGTAGAGATGCACGCATAATGCTGGAGATTGAGGCCTGCAGCATTTACATCTGTGAGGCAATGGAAATTTTAATCCCTAATCCCAGCATGTAAACAAACAGATTTGACAGCTCTAGAGTAGAGTCAGCATGACGGGAGGTTTGTTTTCTGCCAGTGCAATGTACTGTATAACTGCTGTCATACTTCTGAGTTTTTTTTTTTGCCTGGAGTTGTAATTTAAGTGTAATTTGCATCGCTCCATCGCACTGCCTGGAGCTCGGATTTCCCTGGTTATGTTTTTACTTGCAAATTGATTTCAGATCAAGTCTAGTGAAATTAGATCTGCATTTCTAGAGATGTTTGTGTGGCTTCGCCATCTCCGGCAGAGTTTGGTTTGGGTGGAAGGTGTAAAATAAACAAGTTTTGTAAGGGGTGAAGGTTGAATTTGCTCTTTTCACTCCTATCATGTGCTGAGGAAGCGATAGTGTTTAAATTGTATCTGGCTGGACTAGAGAGGTTTATTGTCTGTCACATGAGTGGATTTTATGGAAATGTGCGTGACAATCTGTCATCTAAAACAGTCAGCTAAAAGGTCAGCGCTTATTAAAAGTAATGTGGGGTTTTTTTTTGGCATGCTGAATTTCTTTTATGTTTGTAGTATTACTTTGATGGTTGTTTTGCATTTTATATGAATTATGTTATTTATAGTTTGGATAGTCTGACTCATTCAGTATGTTTGTGCAAAGAGCAGTATCCCAAGGCAAGTCCACTCTTACCCGAAGGAACCAGAGTGAACTAAAATATAGATGTTGTTTGTTTTGTGGGCATCATCAGTGTTTTGTTTTTGTTTGTTTTTTTAAACTAGGCCTGTGTATTTGGCTAAATTTAAAGGTACATTTTTGATCGAAGGAAAAAAAACCTTTGTATATTTTTTGCAGATTAATGCCTGCTTCTGTTCTGTAGATACTAATATATAGCCTGTTCCAATGTAGTTATTGTTTGAGAATTAGTTTATAAGTGCTTACTTTGGTTTTGCTTGCTGCAGCAAGTCTATAGAGCCCATCTCATTTCCTGGTTGAAGAACATCCATGGTCATCTAGCTCTTTCCTTCCCAGCCTGACTGTCCATGGCTCGCTCCTTTCATTAATTGGATTTTAGTTCCTTTAATCATGGAGGGTTAGCATCACTTGTGGGTGTTACTTAGGGTGGTCTGCATGCCAATACAACCTACCTGCAAACGCCCACTGCTCCAGACTGACATCTACCCATAAAGGCATTTTGCTGTTTGCATTTATTCTCCTAAGAGCCAGCCCATTGCTTGTATCAGGGCTGAGGGCTCTTGAAATTAGTACTAAGCCACCAACTGTGATCTTCCAGCACTGCATAGAAAAGCACAGAGGCTCAGTAATGATGCCACTGATGCAATGTCCTAGATTATAAGCTCCAAGGATCAGGCCCTCCTAACCCTCTTGTATTGAACTGTATTGTTGCTGTATTGTCTCCCGTTATATTGTAAAGCGCTGAGCAAACTGTTGGCACGATATAAATCCTGTATAATAATAATAAAATAAGGTATGTAATGAAAAAGGTTTTATTTAAAATTTCATTAGCATTTTGAAAAGGGGGAAGGAGGAACCAAGGAAGGCAAAATCTAAGCAGATTACGTTTTAGATTTAATTAAAAAAAAAAAAAAAGAAAGAAAAAAAGATTTCTATCAATGTCTGTAGGAACTTTCCTCCCCACTTTACCAAAAGATGGCCCAAACAATCTAGAGATAAAGAGACAATTCTTGAAGACAGCAATCCTTTTTTTTTTTTCTTTTTTTTATATGGATATTGGAGAAAAAAATAACCTCACATGTTTGCTTACACACTGCTTTTCCATCTGCTCCACTGTGGACTGACCGCACAGTACATGCAGGAGCAGAGCTGGTGAAGCTGCTGTTGCTTTAAGGGAGTTAAATGTCTTAATTGATTCGTTTAAAGCA